TAAAGCACGTTGAGGGAATTATTGCTGTAGTGGGTTTATGACCATTTGCCCCTGCCGTTCACCCGCGCCAGTTCCTATATGCGTAGATAAGAAGAATGTGCTAATGCAGGACAGGTATCCTGCAAATATATTTCAAGAATGCCTAAAGGAACCAAACAACAAATTCGTCCCGCTAGCTCACTAATGAGCAGACACAAGTATGTAAGTAGTTTAAGCGTGCGTTACTAACTGTGGGATAATACCTTCCAACGTAATTTGCTACAAGTTGCGGCTGTGTAGCGTCAAAAGTGCGGCAGGGTGTAGGTAGACCGTTTAGAGCAAGACGTTTTGAATCATAATGTTTTTTGTAGTAATATTGCCTTTAAGGAGCACTTCAATGTTTGCGGAACCACGAACTCGTCTAAAAATAATGTAGCTTCGGTCTTGGTCGAAGATCGGTTTATTCGAAAGAAAGATTAGCTATAAATTGGCCTTGTTTTTGGTAAATGGTCATTCCAAAGCAAAATCCTATTGGATATCAGCGACAGCTTAGTGGTTCATCACCATCTAGAAAAACGGTGAGAGTAACGTGTGAGAGCAGCACGATCTCATGTTTGAATCGACTCGTGATGACTTTCGATGCAATGAAATGCGGGTATACACCGTGAATATTTATCTTGGTATCGTTGTGTAGTTTCGGAAGGCCAAGATTTTTCATAAGGATAATAATAAATATGCCTTTCTCAAATTGCATAGGCGAGAGCCTGGATAACTTGAGACTGTCGAGGAATATGGTCATGGCATGAGAAAAGTTACCGTCATCCAAGACATGGTTGGGCACCTCGTACATCGTGGCCTCCTCGGAAAGGAGGTCGACGCTGATATTGGTAATATCTCGGGCCATTCAACTATTTATATGCATGTTGTTGAGAAGGTATCCATCGGAGAAAGAGATGGGTAGAGACTGTCGATGCATATGGTAATACATTTGGGCAGTATAGTAGTGTTAACGGGGAGAATGATACTATTACTGGCAGTTTTTAAATACCTATCTCCTGCAAGATTTAACAGTAGTTGAGAGTAGATAACGTCATTGGTGAGCCGCGCTGCGTTAGCTTATACATCATAAAGTGCCTCCACAAATGGGAGTGCTTTATGCGTACATGTTTAATGTTAACATTGGCGTTACGCCCGATCACAGGTAGTAGCTGCACGTCATTGCAGGACATCGTATAGATTTCGCAGAATGGCTCGTCAGTGCTGTGTATGTCGTTGAAGGATCGGTTAGCGGCTTCAAAGGCTTTGCGTTTAATCATAGGGCACTACAACATGTGTTATTAGGTGAGGAAGATCGACTGCTTTTCTGTTGTTTTATATATTAACTACATAGCGTGTTTTCGGTGACCTGGATCTTGAAGCGAGGGAGCGCAGCATAACCGTCAGATATTAAACTTGTAGCGGTGCTTAAATAAGCCATTGCAGGCGCCATTTTTCCGTCAGGGCTCATTTCTGCGAGTAGAAAATTATTGAGAAAGGCTTCGGTGAAGCCTCCAGGCGAGTCGACAAACATCATTTTCTATAAACTTAACTAGTTAGACAATGTAGACTACTCTCTCGATGGCATATGAAGCCGTTTATATGTAAGTGCGAATTAGTGAAATCATATGGATGTTTTTTCATAATGTTGGTCTTTAAAACGTTGTTCTGTGGAAGGGAAGTTGAAGAAAAGTTGAAAGTCTTATTACGCTCTTCTAAGCTTGCCCTGGAAATACGTCACTTCTTGATCGTGGTAGGCGTTGGTGATCGGGAGAGTCATACTGCGCGTCGACACGCGTGTGTTATATATGAAATCTTTAACTATGGCGTTCTTTTACAGCATTAGGAACAATCACAGGATATATATAGAATCGCTTGTAGCATCCGTATGGAGCCAGCATCTGCTGTCTTGTGGCCCCCTCATTTGTTGTTGAGAAAAAGCCCTGTCTGTATGTAGGCTTCTTTGAATGCGGCTACATGATCTACGCGGATTTGGTCAAATGCGTCTAATGATTTATGTTTACAAAAGTGACAGAGCAGAAAATGCAGGTAGTGGATCTCGCCTCAGCATGGGTTACCTGTGTAAATGCTATTAAAAATACTCACCTAATACTATATCGGGAAGCAGGAAACCTGGAAACCGAACGTTCACGAACTGTTATTCGTTTACGTGTCGTACCTGCGTGCCTCAACATAGAATATTGTTTCAGTGAGCTTATTTTGTTCGCAGAGCATTACGAATGCAGTGAGCAGCGTGGCCTGTTCTCACATCTCATCGCCGTCGAGTATTGTGCCCTCACTGAAGAACATTCGCGGATCCTGGGGATGCGAGTAAGGTTGTCCAACAGAGGGGTTCTGTTCATGAAGTAGGAAGATCGGTGTTTGTGAGACAGCTTTGCACGGCCCATGTATCGGCCGTTACGGTGTCAACTTCATCAATCTTGAGGACAGCACTGTTGCTAGCTTTTTGACTTGGTAAAGGAGCATATTTCGACGTTCAAATGTTAGTCGAGGGTCATGAGAAGGTCGGTTATATATGGAGTAACCGATTGCAATGTTATGACACGATTAGCATGCTGTTAATTTTCTTTATAGCCGACAAAAAAACCACCTATGACAAGGGAGCGAAACTCATTATAATGTTTATCTAGTTACAAACAATAAGACATTGGCAAATATGCAAATGTACATCATCGTGTCCTGTCTTTGTATTACCGTGTATCGTGAACCACATTCCGCTTCCCCACGAAGGCAAGGTTGTCAAGCAAAATCATTGTCGATTACGCCAGTGAAGTTCGTATATGTCGTCCCTCGAATGCATTGAATAAACTGTAGCTTTCCCAACTCAGTCTTCACTTCAGTGTCGACAAAGCACTGTTGGTGCAGGCGGCCAGGTACAATGGCTAAATGCACTACCCTGATTCGTGATACGGTACGTGCATGTGGTTGGTTTTCTGTTTTGAGTTGTCGGTAGCTAAACCTACTAGCCGCCGTCACCGAACAGTAATGGTCATCGATCTGGATCAATAACGCTACGAAGGTCACAGATAGTTTCCTTTGCTGTCGTAAGCTAACAAATATAGGGATTCGCCGCTCGAAGCATTTAAACAATAGCGCGCAGTTCGCAATGGTCCATAATGTGCAGCGGGCACTTGATGGGACCTTGAGGATCTGAGAAATAGATTTGAACAAACTGACATGACTTGTCATGCGCTAGTAATAGTGGATTTAAATACAGAACAGATTGTAAGCGTCCTTAGCAAGACGTCCTTGTCTGCTTACGGAAAACAGCGTCATCTGAAAAAGCATATTGTATTACTGCCTGTAGGCCGCACAAAACGCCTTGGCCGTAGGCCTGCTGGTTCTGTATAGCGCGTCGATATTAGCGGGCAGATTGCAGTCATTTATCTTTATTTTACTTTCCATGCAACAAAGATATGTCTTTTCATCTGTACACGGTGAAGCTTTACATTGACCGTATACCTGATTCTTTAGACGGATGCTTGTCGATAGGAGGCGCCTTTCCTTTGCTGAGCAAGCCGTTAAATAACAACCGGTAAGGCGTCATTGATTTGTGGCTGGGTAGAAATTGGTGGTGGATTCGGATGAGTTGACGGGAAATTGTCTACTTTGTGCTTTGTTGCCGCACCCTTTGCGGTGTGGTTCCGCGCGTCAGGAAGCTGCATGTCTCATGGCATGCGAGGGAGTAACCCACTTGGTAAACGTGGAGTCAGCGTTTAGCTCCTGTTTTAGGTCAGGGTGGGAGAAGTCGACGGCACATTGGTCAGGACAATCCGGATGTCGATCATCAATCGGTTGTGGTAGGGCCTGGACGGGACGAAGAGATTCGGATATTTTCTGTGTAGCTTTGCATGCTCTCTTCGCGGTTCGATACCTAATGGAGACGAATTTGAGCCAACGGCATTGCAATGCAGGCGGTTAGGTGTCTTGTGCGCCTTGACTTGCTGTTGGCTGTCTGTGACAGTGACCTATCCGAATCAGTTGGAACAGCCCTGGAGAATTATAACACAAAAACAAAATGTCTGCGGCGTTTAACTACAGTGTCCAATAGTTCGGGCACGCAAACACGATGTTCCACTTTCAATACGTGCGTCAGCATTCGACGGCTACTCTATCCAGTGACTGCAGCGGATGAACGTAACGCTATCGATCAGAAAACGAATTTTTTTTCTAAGAGCAAATTGACATGCCGGATAAGTGAATGAAGGTAGATGTTTAATGATGGATCAGCACGAACGATGCTGGTGGTCACTGTGGCGTTTCTAAGCGGTGCTACGGCGTTGTTTCTAAATGTAGAAAATAAAAAAGCAATTGGTGCCTCGATTCACGACCAATTTTACGTTCTGTTGGTAAAATCAAATTTATTTTACTATTTAGTTTAATCGGTCCCATCTTCTGCATTGCCCTTTTCAAAATGAAATTATAACAACCGTAAGCCCGCTACTCTTTTTTTTAGTTTTAGTGTCATCAGTAATTACATGTGGCTGTGACTACCTGGATAAATAGATGGTGCATTTCTTGCCCACGGCAATTTATAATACTATATTCCACTACATTTACTGGCATTGGTGACGTCTATGGGGCGCATTTTTGTCTTTTTAGGGTGTTCTGCGCGAATTTTCTAAGAATGTGTGAATAAGCCATCATTCAGTTGGTTCTGTTAGCCTGTCAGTTCACCTGATCGAATAGTATTTTTCTCTTTCACAAGCGGGCCAATGTAAAAGGGGTTTTTGTTTCTAACTAATCGAAAACTCGCGATGGTCTCAGCCCAACTAATCCACATGTTGCTATACGTATTTATGCATATATATATATATATATAAACACGCCTTCACGCCCAAAAACGAAGCGATTGTAGCAACGCTTCTTTGTCAATTAAGATGACGTTTAAAATACAGCGCCACCGTCTCCGCAACACCGTCGCATAATAAGGAAATTAAGATGGCAGCCATTACGAGTAGTGTTGGTCGTGTGCTCTGTAGTCTAATGGTGCAATTTTTACTAATATGTATATGGTTAATTATTGTTCTAGCAACAATCCAACGGTACTCGAGTAGATAATTTAAGGTATGTTTTTGATATGTGGCGATAATGGTCATCTGCTGGAGATATGATAGTAAGAGGCTATAAGTAGACTCAACAGCAATTATGTCTTAGGTGAGGGGCTTTTTTTCCACGGAACGATTTGGCACAATTGCTTCTCATGGTCAAATGGTGTTCTTGGTTTACATTAAAGTCAACGTAGAGAGTGGCTGTTTATGACATTAACTCAGATTTTGGATTAGTTTCCATAACATTCTGATCCAAACGTCTTATGGGAACGTACACAGGTTCATAAATAAACTAATATTTCGATCTTTACGTCCGCTGCTGGCGGTAAGTATTACTTCAAACGGCTGGCTTCCCAGCATGAAACAAATGTCTCTACGGTCAGTTTGGAGCTTGGACGACTACATGTCCTAAAATTGCTAAGTCAACAGATTCCAACTGAACAATCACAGAAACACACGAAATCATCTACGGTTGGCCAATTAAGCCAATCCTAGTGTATGGTTCTGTCACCTTTGCCAGATTCCAATAGTGTCAAAAGAACACGGTATTGGCTTTATGAGTAATCGCTTATTGTGCCGCCAATAGATGGCTCGTAGGACGTATGCAAACAGAGTTTTTGCTTGTCACATTGTCATTGTGAGACTTGCATTGCTTTACAAAAAAGTTTGTAATTAATTTTCTTATAGTGGCAGTCCCCATAGAAACAGTGTTTGGCCAAGTGATGTACGCCACATCATTCACGGCGACTAGCTGTTGGCAAAACCAACGCAGTGGACCCTAAATTCAGAATAGAACGTGAATTCTACAGGATCAAGTATGACACGCACGCAGTTGTTATCTGTAACTGTACGGACGTCTTTTTGATTACGATCTCGAAGCACGTAATCCTCTTCATATACTTCGGTTACTGCTAGCATACTTCGGCTGTTCAACCTACGACCGTTCTGGTTGCATGTACATGCAGAATGACAGCGATGTTCACTAACGGACACAAGACAAGGAAGCTAACGTGAGTTTAAATGTACCGTTATGGTCAATACGAGAAGTTAACGGGAGTATTTACTATGGTTAAACGATAGCCTTTATTTATTGCTGATAGGCAAATAGGTTTGTTCACTTATATAAATCTATATGAACTTACAGACATTAGCCAATAACGATGGTGGCGAGAGTACAGGCGCTGGGTCTAGAACAAGAAAGAGTGGATTTTCGTGTACCTTTTCGTATGGATGTGCCGCTGTTGGCGGATGTGGGCGTATAGAGGAACACGTGTGGCTGGGCAGCTATCATTGTTGCTTTGTAGAAATTTTAATTTAGCTAATAGTGTCTACGCGTCCCGTTGCCTATGCTGCTGTTATAATTCATGCTGGCATTGTATTTACTTCATTTCTGGCTTATTGAGCTCGAGCTTGCTCAGCACAGATTACCTGAGACAGGCGACAGATGTATAGCACCGCATGAACATTAAGCAAGCACCATTTTGACCATGATATAAACGCTCAACATCAGTAAAGATAGACCTTAATATCATTGAGTGGCTCGAATGATTGTGTTGATCTCACGTTCTGTAGATAACAACGGGAACAGCAGCAATATCAACACAACTTCTGATTCAAGTTATTGTATCATTAATACGTTCGTACACATGAAAGGTAAGATAAAAATAATCAATTTTACTTGGCTAGAAAACGAACTGATTGAAAACGGGCTATCGAGTCTCGAAACATGAACGCCAATCAGCGGCAGCGTTACGTCTGCTGCCAATATTTACCCAGGCGTAGAAACTATATTAAAGTTTCTCTAATTTTAATTAACAATTAAACAGGCGATGACAAAAAGAATCAACGATCTTTATATTTGCGCGTTTCAGTATTTTGCGTTAGGGTAATTGCACAGCGTTTCACGCCTGTATTTGGTTTAACCCAGCTAGTCTTCTTATATACGAACATTGCAGCTCCTGCTTGTTTTTAACTGAACGAGCAATGCTGATACGTATGCTGGGTAATATAATACGTGCAAAGGAAAATGTATTTATGGATCGTTGTTTTATATGCTCGTTTGAGCTGTAAATAATGGCATCAGCTTTAAGCCACATTCGAGGACATCTACTTTTCTGTATAAGGCCTTTGTCAGTGTGATAAGTATGATTCCACTGTCTACCCCTTAGCCAAAACACATATATATATATCGTATCTACACATTAGTGTCAATGAGAGTTGCTTGTTGTGGCGGATTAGCCTCTATCGAGATGAGTTTAACGCTTGGGTCGTGCCACGTTTCGTAGGATTGTCCATTAATTATTCGACGTACATAGACCATGTCTTGGAGCCCGTTATTCTATTCAAATTCCGCCTTCACGAAGAGCCTGTTAGCATCAAACCTGATTTTTACGTGAGGTATGAGAGGCCAGGTGACCAACTAGAAGCCTAGGAATACTCGAGAGTACAATGGCAACTTTGATCAGTGTACAGAGCTCACAACGTGTCTTGTAAGATCAAGATAAAGCTCTTGGGTCTGTCACTGCATTTACAACGAATTGCGCAGCCGAACTCACAGTCCTGCCATCCTAGTGGTTTCTAAATTGCTCGGATCTCGGTTCAATTGCGAAGGCAGAATCGTATCTGAACCTCAAGTTGAACTTTCGTACCAGCGACAGATGTAGAAGAAGTGACAGAGTGAGAGGAAGTAGTTCGTGCCCCGGGGAAGATATATTCGGTGAAGCCCTGCTGCTCTAATCCTTTTACGCGTATTGTGTATACCTATATGGTGTAGATATTGTTGATTGTTTCAGGATAACATTTGGCCGGATAAGAGGAGAGGGTATCTTCTTCCTTTTAATTTGACGAGGTATATAATAATAGAAACACGTTTCACGTACTGTTACAAAGTGGCGCAAGGCAACTTCGTCAGTGCTCTAGTCTCCTATTTAATGGAATCCTAGCTTTTGCTCTGTCATCGACTGAATCTGAGTGCCAATGTTTGCATTATGCAGGAATAGCATGTTTTAATACGGTCTCTTCATTCACAAATGGTATTTTATATTCCGAACACTATGGAATAGGACGCTAAATGTCAAGACGCCTTAGTGTTATATCAGCACATGTATTAAACGTTTTTAGTGGCAACGCATCGTCCTTATTTGCTTTGTCGTTCATTTTGTTATATCAGCGTTCAAACTTATTGGTACAAGCAACTCACCTAATAGTACGAGGCCAGGAAAATTTACCTTCTGCTAAAACCCTCGCAAGATCATATCTAAGTGTACGCGTATAGCTCTTTTTCTTATCCCCACAATTTTATGTGCATAGAACCTTTCAGTACGAGTATTCTCAGGTAGTCAAGAAATCGCTAGTCAACAGGTGCACATTTATTCATGTTCCCCATCAGCAAACCCATTCTTAAAAGCTTGAATCGAATTTCTATGGTCCATAGCTCCTTTGTTGAGTTCTTATAGTTCTGACTCGACTTGTTGAAGTATTATCGTATGATGCCTTTGTAGGTCTTTTTCGCTGTGCTTTCTTGGATTTTTCTGTTTGCTTGTATGCTACTATTGGTATTACCGTGAAGTGGTCAACTTTGGTTACGACGCATGTGTCTGTTGCTTCATGTTGAGACTTTAAATCTAAAATCAACTTTATTTAATAAACGCAACAAATACGATGCGAACCTATCCAGTTATATTGATTGAGGGATCACACTTACTGATGTGCGTGGGGTCCTTACACGCAAACATTCTTTCTACAAACATAAGGGATACTTCATGATAGTACAAATATCGCGATGGCAGAAACTGCATTCGAGACATGAATACATGTTGAGAATATTTGAACGGATACGTATATTATTGGATACTCCGTAGCGCTGGGGCACGCCGAACCTAAATATCCCTTTTCATGTGAAATAATCTACTTCAGGTGTTTATCATACTTGGAGTCTAGCGTGTTGTAATAAAGGTCTTTTGCCTTTATAGTTGCCCGCTGTCCTCTGCTATGCCCGTTTGGCTGGAACGAAGCGGAGGAAAACCTATAATACTCGCAGCTTTCCCAACCTCGAGCTCGTAGGCAATCAGTTGGCTGCAGCACCCCAAAGCCGAATACTTTTCTTCTTTTCATGTCTGCTGTCCGCCCCCTGAGGCGCGTCAAGGGCTTTCACTAGGAGGGGCCCAATAATATCCCAGCTGCATTCCGATTTCTCTATATACAGAATTTCACCGCCCTAAATTCCCTCTACAGACTGTCCATGCCATGTCTGTAGCCATTTTGTTATTATTATTATTTCACTGCCTCTTCTCATAGCTTAGCAGTGGACGTAGAGGTCTTTTAAGGAGCCTGCCTGGAGAAGTTACCTTATTGTTTCTATCAGCAGATGGTAGCTGATGTAGCATTCAATGATAAATCATGGTATGTACGATGTGGGCGAGTCACTTAAGGATTCTATGACTTTCTACAATGTCTAGAACAATTCCCCGGAAAATTCGGGCCTAATTACAGGTCTATCTAATTTTCCTTCTAGATAAAATAAATTCATAAAAAGAGTGTAAAGTTCCTTTCTCTTTGAGTGGATAAACTCCGTCGTCCTTCTTGAATGATATAAAAATAACAACAGTTTTCCTTTAGGTATAAATTGTGCCGGCAGATGAGATCGAATCCTGTTTTTCTGAGACAAAGACGGTAACTAGCCTGGTAGTCGCACAAATGACATCATTAAAAACTTTGGCAGCTCAGCGATCCCCCAATAACTTTTTAACGGGTCGTGTCATAAGTTCCTTCATCTCTGTTGACGTCTTGAAAGCTGAAACGATGGTTCGAACTACTCTCGAAACGAAACTCTGTAATGTCTTTCGGGCATCAGCCAGAGCAAGATATGCTGCAAAGGAATATATATGTGGATAAAACCGTACGTAAAGTACCGTGCTAAAACTGAATGGCTTGCAGGATGCTTTTAAAAATTGTCGCCTGTACCATATGAAAAAATCAGGCAAACGTTTCATGCTTCATGTTTCTTCCGAACGGGTCGCCGAAAAGGTGATATAAGCCTTGAGATTAGTGCGGAGCAAGAAATAGATCAAGTATGTGAATTTGTATGCAACTATATGGGTTAATTAGATCTATATGTTATAACATGCGGATATAAAAGATTAACCTTCCACTCACGTAAACAAACTCGCAGAAAGTGGTTTTTATGAGATAAAAAGGATCATTATTTAATAGCAAATAGAAAGTTTTTTCATTGAGAGATTTGCGGTGAAATATACATCAATTATTTCCCTTTTTTTTTAATTAGCCGGCTATATTCGACAGTTCGTGTTTTGGATATCATCCGCACTGCGGACCCTCAAAAAAGGGATAATTGCTAGTGGGTTACTATATCATGTAAATTTAATGTTATTATGTTTGCCGACTCGTGAAGAACTTGATGCACAGAAAAATAAGTGTTATGAATGAAAATTTTATATGCTATTTTTTTTTGTTCACTTTTGAATTTATACGTAGGAATGTACTCGGTTTCGATGGCAAACATCTGCAAATCTACGGTAATCCTTAGACTCACTGCCATATCAAGTGTTTGAAGGTTTCCGTGTCCGTAAATAAGCGCTGTATGTTTGGTCCATCTAAGGAACGCTTTGCAGTGCAGGTGCATATTGTCAGGCAAAAAATAATGGCCGCAGTCAAACCGTTCGCTATAAGCTCCCTAAAAAGCGAAAATTTTTGGGGGCCTAGTACGGACAAAGGCTTTTTATTGCCTGCTTCTGTGTATGTCGCTTGCAAAACGAAACCAAAGAGAAAAAAAGAGAGAGGAAAAAGGAAAAAAAGACAGAAAAGGGAAGATGAAATAAAACGCATGCAGGAACCGGTAGACGCAGAGATAAATAAGGTTCCAAGAATAAGAAGCGCACTCATGGCTGGCCGCGGCGAGGTTTTTCCTAGCATCTCCATCACTTCTTAGGATATGTAGTATAGACAGAGTCGCACATCGTAAGTAGCTTACGATCAGCGGCTACTGCTTTTGTCTCTGTCTACCGGCTTCACGAAGTCTCCTGAACAAAGCTAACCCTTTCGCCGTAGTGGAGAGGTTAGCAGCAATAGTCCCGCATACGTCTGCCTGCGTGTGTGGTCCTTGCGAGACTCGTGAGGATCATCAATACGGGTACTCTCCCAACAGTCACATGAGCGAGTTCAAAATATATAAAGTGTTTCTGGAAAAATTTTCTTGGTACCTTTCTATAGTAAACGTCTATAAATGGGTTGGAAAATGACGCAGACACAAATCTATAGGCCGCTCAAAATTGAAGGGTATAATGAGCTTATTAAAGGCTATTTGTGAACCGAAAAGTGAGCTGGGATTGCACTACCTACTACAAGAGTCAGCGGCAGCATCACCACGCCTCCAATGCAAACTATCAGTAGGGTAAGTAAGCTCTTTGCAAAATCGGACTATAGAATAAAAGCAGGGATTACTGACGAAGTTTCAGAACAGCATGTGCAAACTATTCGAATTGCTTGTGCCTAATGATAAGAAAGTTCACGAGTGACAAGGAAGCTGCCGTCTGTCTGATGCGTGTGCACGTATGCATGCGTGCTGTGTGTGCGTGCGGTATAGTAAGTAAGGATATCTTGCGCTTTCGCCCGACAGCGCTGCCGCTTTGCTGTTGCTGCCACAGCCGTTGTGCAGCTTCGACAGCTTCAACCAGACCACTGGCAAGGGCCAGTGGGATTCATTGATGAGTCGACAACTTTTCGTACGCGAGGAAGAGCGCTCATTTGTACGACGTACGTGCGGCGTTTAAATATTTACGTGCGTCGTAAAGGCTAAGAGGCGGAGGACGGAGCAGCAGTGCCAGCTTGGCCCGCTCAGCTGTCCGCGCTGTTGGACAACCTGGTCAGGGCCTAGAAACGAACAGAAGATTATGGCGAGTAACGGAAGAGGCAAGGGTGTATGGGTGGCTGGAGAAGCTGGCGGCTTCGAGCGGGTCGAACTGGAGCTGCCGCTGGTGCTAAGGGTGATTATCGAATTCGAGACACGTTTTGCTTCGAGCCAGGCTGGGAGAGTGCAATGAGGGATGTACGGCGGGCGTGGTAATAGTCGAGGAGCCATTCCGAAGGGAAGGGGTAGGGTTAGAGTCAAAGGATCTATCTAGTGGTTGCTCTTGCTTTAACTATCGCCGCTGCTGGGGCCCGTGACGACAAGTACCGTGCGTTCTACATTCTGGCCATCACTCCCTCACTAGGGTTTTAGTTTGGAATATCCCTCTGATTAGAATGGGTCTAGTTTTCAGTTTGAATTGGTCCTGACAATGATCTGTCAGGATATATCTGCTGAGATAAACTGATTTTCGGACGTATCTTAAAATTACCGCATTCATGTCAAACGTGCCCTAACGTACTGCGATTCCACCAAAATCAAAGGAACTACCATAATAAAAAATTTAGATTGTTCTAAATAATATTGTGGCATCTTAATTGAGCGAGCGTATTTTTGTAGCTATGCATGTGGGTAGTACTGCACACATGTCTTAATGCATTTCAGAATTTCGGTACGAGGGCATTTCTTAGGTAGATATGGCGCGTCAATCAGCGTGCGTAAACCTGTCGGGACAGCATTCAGTATAGTGAGACGTTGAATATTACATGCTCGACGACACTTTGTACAACGTAATACGCCACCTAAATAATATTAAAAAGTTTGTTTACTTTTTAAAGTTTATCTGCATGTAATGTCTGCATTAAGTACTTGAATTGCCTCTTCACACATGACACGTTTGCCGCACGAGTCTCGTTTTCTGTTGGAGTTCTGTTCCACATCGTCGGGTTAGTAGCGGCTTTATTTTAGCGTAGCCGTGCTGGCGAGTTCATTTTTTCTTCTTCGGGTCTTCGACTAGATCGTTTAGTTGTTAATTCCCTCTGTTGTTATTGCCAAAACGTTGATTTTCCACGTTACACATATTGTCGAAATCGACAGTTCGTTGTTACTGGTTGCTACCGAGCAGCGATCGTAATTTAAAAAGGTGACATATCGTCACTGAATCCTCGTTTTACCGTAGAAAACGTTAGTACCGATGGAATTAAGTCGCTAGGACGCACCATGAGCAACAGTATGCATCGTATAGCCATGCGTTTATGCATGACATCTACCCGTATCCATATTAAATCTTACACATTTGACAGATCAGAACTCTCCTGCTGTCCGTCGTGCCGGCACTGCTATCTCCCTAAGTAGCGTTTTTCTGAATCGGTCATTCGCTTTATCTTTTGTTATCAGCCTGATTATTGCTACTGCTATTGAGGTAAAGATTGTTGTCGGTCGTAACAGTGTGCGCTGTCTTTACGCAGAGCTGCTGTGGGGGGCGACGCTGCTATTGTTGGAAATAGGACTTCCTCGTTTGAACTCAGGCACATTCAGACGATCGAGACGTAACCAATCGCGTTGCCTGGGTCTCCACCGGCTCCAACACGAGGCAGTTGCCGCCGCCGCCGCCGCCGCCGCCATAGCAGCAGCCTTCCGGATTGCTCCCTAGAGCGCAATCGTCCTTCCCTGTAGCCGAAAGCAATTTTAAAAATCATTTTATGGTAAAATGAATAGGATAGCAATTAACGTTCGCGCAAGAACAGCGGTTCTGTCCAACACCGTCAGACACCTCCATAAATAATGAATATTCATTTTTAGTTACTATAATTTGTAATGTGTTTGCCACCGAATACTAGACATAATATGTTTGATGATGTATGGATTTCAGTGGCCGTAAAACACCGATGTGGAAAGTAGCTGCTTGTCTTGAGTAACTGGAATTTCGACTTTCATTGCGTATGGTCCGCTTGGAGCTAAGGTGGTCGAAGCGAGACTTATTTTGGCGGTGGTCAAAATGAAAACGAATATGTTTCAAGCAGACCGTTTCGTTGCTATCTGCACTTTGAGTAGACGAGCTTCTTCCTAATTGATTTTGCGACAAATCGTACTCCTGGAGGACAACACACCGTCAAGTCGACCTTGCAGCTTGCGCACGACTGCTTATAAATTTACTGGCTTTAATTAGTCGATTGCTTGGTTAAGCCAAGAATCTTTGGCAAACTTTAAATTCGTTTTTTCTTTATTCGATTATAATTTTTAACTGAAAATGGTCGGGTCCAGATTTTTCAGTTCTACTGATCAGTACACTTTTGACATCTTACCCCGCAGTTAGGTAAATTCGATACGTGCGCGATCTTACGTACACACACGTTATCATGACACGTTATTTGATCGGCGATATTCAGTGTTGTCACATGAGGATGCGCATAACAGGTTTGAAAAAGAGTCGAAAAGAGGGGCATTTTTTTCCTGTGGCCTAAATGCAGGACGATCTTTTTTTTTTCGTTCTCCTCAACGTCAAGTCGGATATGGGTTTTATACGGCGTCGTTAACTGTTTCATTCGCATTTCAAACCCAAATACATTGGTAGCTTTTTATGTTTTATCTTTCTAATTGACAACTCAATCGTTTGCATATAGCCTCATTTTTAGACGCTTCATAATTCAACCGGAGAAAAACGAGAAATGTCATCTTTAATCTAATACACCAATGACTATTTGAAGCATTTGGCCGTGGTACGCAGCAGAAGTTTAGCAAGCAAATGTTCAGCAAGACGGAGTACACGAAGCAAGAATCATGGAGTGGTTTCTGTATTATATGTACATATGAAAAAAAAAAACGCAGCTATGTATGGGTCTATACGCGGCAGCATATCGTAGATCTTTCATCGTATATTGTTATAGATTTATGTATATCCTTGCATCGGAAAGGAAGGGGTCAGACAAATAAGACACACCAGCCGAGCTAATTTCATGGGTGTCTCTGTGTTCATATGGAGTGCACTGGTGATACCATACTCAATATTGCTCCCAGGATCACTATCAATTTCCGCCGGAGGTCGAAATAGATATTAAATCCGTGATTATGTTTGCACAGGGCTACCGCCGCTGGCGTCTTTACAGCAGTTTCTGTCCGCTTGTCGAATATCAACCCAACGCTTTCCTGCAACAACACAGGAACAGTCAGACACAGAACAACTATTGGAACGCGTACGTGCGGATCTATTGCCAGCGAGGCTCCCCTTCCCCCCAGATGATCAAGATCCGAGCTCACACTCTCTTCGTAGAGCTTTCTACTTGCTCGACGTTTTCGCTCTGATTTCCAGCCTTTCCCCAACCCGTTTGCCCAAATTCGGCATTTCATCTCCAGCTAACTTCGTCTTTGTGCATCAGATCAAACAAGAAGGAACGCAAAGAGGTGATGAAGAAAAGACCTAAGCAGACTGCGCACCGAGTGCATCTCTGAAAGCTTATACCCGTTTCAAGCCGTTTCAGACGAGAAAAAATCCGCTAACGAGAAATTTGCAGGAAGCACGGCTGACACGCCAGAATATTTCGACAGCATTACTATCCGGTGAATCACATTGATTCTTCAAAGATAATATTGTAGCTTATGCATAATATGCCGTGCAAAAAAGCTCTATTTAAACGTGCCTAAGATAACTGTAGGTGTACAGTGTCTTACGAAAACAAAAGCTTTCATATATTTTCATATATATTTATATATATA